AGGAGAAAGAAAACCAAGCAAGTTTGGTATCTCTGAATCAGTATATACATGAACTTGTATTTTAAAGTTGCCTTGAAATAAACTAGTCATTCTTTTGAGAGATCTGTTAGAGGAGCTAAGAGCTGAAGGAGCTATTATGTTACACCGAGTCAAAAACCTACCTCCACTGTAATTTTTGGCAAATCACAACCTCAGGCTCCTCATCTTCGCCTTCCCTCAATGAGTTATGAAAATCTAATCAGTAATTGACTGGCTGCTTCAAAATACTACAAAGGCACTCCTGATCTAGTACTGTGATGGCATTACATCTGGGTATGAAAATTCCAAATGAAAGTAATTGAAAGTGCTAGTTGTTACTCGTGTCTGACTCTTTGCGACCCCGTGGACTACAGCCCATCAGGCTCCTCTGTCCATGGAATTCTCCAGACGAGAATACTAGAGTGGGTTGCCATTCCCTTTTCCAAGGGATTTTCCTGACCCAGGGATCGAACCCTAGTCTTCTGCATTGCAGGCAGATTCTTTATTATCTGAGTCATCAGGGAAACCAAAATTCCATCTAACCGAGTATAAACTTCTGAAGAATGGACCTTTAATCTTCTATACCCTTCTGTCAGGTACTGCACCATGTATTTAGTAGGTATTTAAAATATGTTTGCAGAATATCTGGAAGTAATATGAGAATGTATGCACAAGGCTAAGGAGTGAATAGCAAAAGGGATATCTGACTTCCTAAGAGGATTTAGAATTGAAATAGTCAGGCTTTGTCCCTCCCACAAATGTGGTCAATGACAAAATCAAGGCTGGAAGGGAGCTTACAGCTCCAGAATTTTCTCCTAATGTGTAAACTGTTTTTCTGAATACTCTAGAAACATGAAGAAGGTATTTAGAGAAAAAAGCAGTGAACTGTAGAACAGGAAACCAGTCAACAGCAACTTTATAAAACTGTGTTCACCAACTGCTGGCCATTAAAGAAGAGCTCCTTAACTTCTCAAGTTGAAACCTGCAAAATGTAAATCAGGCCTTTGTGAGACAAACTAAAACAGTGTCCCCTCAGGGTACACAAATACCACAGTGAAGTCACCAGATTCTGACAGAGTCAGAACCTACCTCACAAAGATTTTCCTGGGGGAAAAAAACTGCCGTTTTTTCCTGTTAAAAATACACTAAGGGACCAAACAGAATAAAGTGCAATATCCTTCCTTATATAGTGATTATTCTAAATTAGACACCAAAAAAGAGTATCTTAGACACAGCTTAAAAGCATCATTTAATCACTGTTGGTTACCGAAACTTATAGCGAGTCTGGACACCAACCTGGTCTTGGTGTAAATTTTAGGAGTTCCATAAACTTTGACTGAGTTGGTTTTATAAGCACTCTTTCCCTTAAAATAATTGTTTTTAGAAAGAGGGAAAGGTACCCTCCTCCAAAAGACCCAGTTTGCCAAGTTTTCACCTACAAATGACTACCAAGTTAATTAAACAGGTTGTTTAATAAAAGGCAAGTTCTCAGTTACAATCTTACTATCAACTACTCTGCTGATAAGGATAAAACTCATTATAACTTATAAAACTCAAAAGCTAAACTTTGAAAAAGTAGTTGAATAATTCATATAGAAGTCAGGAGAGAAGATCCAGAAGTTAAAGGCAAACTAAGAAAAACTTCTTTTTAGAAAAGGGTGCCTTGCTGAGATTTCTCTTCACAACAGGCAGAAAATGTGGTTCTGAATCCCATAGCAACTGTAACTCATTATATCTAAGGATATATTACACCCTGCACCCTGGATTACTGTATGTGGTGCTTAAGACATGGCTGCTTTCAGAATCAGTGCTGATTTTCCTGGCTTTCGTACAAGTGATGATAATGGTACAACCATCTAATTTGTACCTGCCATCTATTAAAATATGCCTCACCACCCAAAAAAAGGACCAGTTAAAATGATCGTGTTATTTTATACATACATGTGTATGCATGAAAAGTTTCTGGAAGGTTACAAAAGAAATTGTGAGCAACAGTCTCCAGGGCAACTTAGCAACTGGAGATGAAGTACACACTAGTCATTATAATGTTTTAATTCATTATGTCATGTTTCACTTTTACAGTAAAAAAAAAAAAATGACTTAGGATCAGTGGCAAAGTATGTATATTTCTTGTGACTACTTAAGTGAGAACTGACTTTGCTTATTTTAAAGTTTACTGTGTTTAAAGTTCAACATTAAAAGGAAAGCTAGAAAAGTGGTGGCAAGACCTAGTTCTTTCACACTGCTCCCGTAGACTTTCACATGCTCTGTAAGGGCAGAGCACAATATGCATCACTTGTTTAAGGGTATGTGAAATCTGAACTGGATGGGAGATTTAATAGATGCACAAACAGTCATGGTCCTTGAATTCATGGGAAATAATTAGTTAGCTAGAGCCCATGGAGTAACTGGAGTTAGGGAGTGAATACACTGAATATCCAATACATAAAACCCTGTCTATCTGCCATAAGTTAGATGCCACAACATGCACGAATACATATATCCTTGTCATTAAAAAAGAGAGGGGGGAGACAGAAAGAGATTGAGACATCTAACCCCACTACACACAAATCTCCCTCCCCTTCCAAGAACAACTACAATAAGTTCTTGTCAAGTTTTTTAGAAACTGTCTGCCTAAAAAGCTTAAAGAAAATGTTTTTACAGCACTTGTATGAAAACTATTTTAGGTAACTTTTTACTTAGAAGCTTTAAATCCACAGTTTTATGAACTTCATTTAGCAAAAATGTTACCAAAACTGAGCAACTTTTCAGCAAAACAAGTTGAAGCATATATAACATTTTCAGAGAAAAAAGTCTATCAAGCATTCAATCACTAGGACCCAAAGTCCATGTATCCGTGGTCCAGGAGTAGCAACCTAACTTGACAGATACTGTCTTACCTAACACATTATCTTTCTAACAGAGGGGTAATCACTGAGTAATCTACCTTCCTACACCATCACCTGAAATAACCTTTCACTACATAGTGATCAAGGGCTTCCCAGGTGGCTCAATGGTAAAGAATCCACCTGTCAACGCAGGAGGCTGGGGTTTGATCCCTGGGTCGGAAAGATCCCCTGGAGAAGGAAATGGCAACCCACTCCAGTATTCATGCCTGGGAAATCCCATGCACAGAGGAACCTAGCAGGCTATGGTCCATGGGCTGCAAAGAGTTGGACACAACTTAGTGACTCAACAACAACAGATGCAATGCTCACAGCAGAAAAATCACAAGGTCCAGACTGTCAGCCCTATCTTTACCTAAACAAGAGATTTTTATGCAGAAGTTTTCAAATGAATCTCAGGCATGTGAGACACTGAGGCCATGCTTTTGCTTCGAAATGTTTAATATTTCAAAACAGATGAAATAAGACTTCGTGGGGATTCAAAATTCAACACAGAAACTTTAACAAAACAAAAATTTAAACAAAAATAAATGGATAAAAATTTCAAAAATAATTCTGGCCAAGTTTAAAAATGTAACACTTAGGAGAAAAGAGCTAAGAGCATCCCCAAAAGGTCTTGGGAGGCCCTTGGTCTCTTGCAGAATCTTCAGAAGGGTACCTGTTCCAACATACGGTTTAGCTCCATATGTTTCCAATACCTTTGAAAAACTGAACTGCTTACTTCTTCCATCTCTGAAAAACGGGTGCCTCAGAGTTCCAGTTTATGAATTTATTTTTGAAAAGTTTCATCTTCCTAATGATTTGTCTACAAATAAAATATTTACTACAAAAGCACTAAACACTGCTTTTCTAAAACTTACTCCACACACAGTAATTTAACTTCACTTTTCAAGTACTTTCTCTGGAATCTTGACACTTACATAAAACTTAATGTACCAGACAGCAGAGGAAAGAAAAATACAAAACCACAACCAAAAGAACCATGTGCCCACCAAATAGTTCCTTTCAAAGATTCCCCAAATCATGTTTCCAGCCTTACAGAACTATCCTGATTTGACAGAAGAATGGCTTGGCACCCTGTTCTCTCTGGAAGTTCATTACTACCAGCTACCAGTAAAATCATGGCTTTCAACCTGAGGCAGAAGCTCTACATGTCAAATGTCAGTTTCTCACGCATATGTTACTCTGTTAAACACAATGATGAATCACTCAGCTTGTTTGTATATTCCAATGATGAAGAAAAACTGACCCAGATCAAACATGATTTTTCATACAATTCTTTGAGATAAACACGTCCATCCTCGTCTACCACCCAGCGATGAAGTTTTCTATACATCCCTTTCCTGATTTCTAAAAGGTCTCTCACACATGCTTCTACACTTGCCTTGAATCAAAGCAAAAGGGAAGGCAGTGAGGAGAGCCTTTTTACTCAGGGACCAAACTTCACCGAACAACTGCAGCGGGTGCAGATACTTCCTTTTGTTTTCTCCGTACGGAGATTAGCAGTGAAATCGCTTTGTGGCCCTTCATTAAAGATGAACAACTTTCAAGAATAATAACTTTAAAAGTGAACTTCTATTTTAATTACACGCAAGCAACAGCGGTAGTAAACACATTTGCTCCCCTCAAATCCCCTTAACCTTTCCTCTGTAGCATATTCAGCAGAGCAAACAGCAATCACCCTCAACCCTGGAGAGAAACTTTTTAAACAAGGTAAAAGTGCTTAAGGTGGACAAGGAAAGGGGGACGAGGAGGGTTTCTGATTCACGCTTCAGGAAAGAGGGACCAAAGAAGCCGAAATGGCGAATAATCTAAGGAAGGAAAAGCCGGCTAAGTTAGAAGAGGAAAGCAGACAGAGAGATGCTGGCGGGAAGCATCTTGGCTCGCGGGAAGTTAGGTGTTAGATCAAGCATAGAAGTTGGAGAAGGGAATTTCTGTGTGGCCCAGGCTGGGGAGCAGGGAGCCCGCAGGCGGCTGTTCGGGCCCCTGTCCAGGCTGGACCAGGGGGTGAAGGTGGCCCGGAAGCCGGGCTGCGGGCAAAGCAGCAGCAGGGCACACGGGGCTGTCACTGCTTACCCAGGTGCAGCGTGAGGTTGATGGAGTTGGGGTACTGCACCCCGGCCAGCATGGTCTGGCTCTGCCACCAGGTGGTGTCGGCCTGGTTGTTGTAGTCGGTCAGGAAGGCTGCCCCGTGCTGCAGGTGGGGCTGCCCGGCGTCGCACAGGTGACAGGACTTGGTGACCCCGGTCACCCCGGTCTGCACGCAGTACTCCTCGGGCGGAGTCCCGCACGTGTTGGTGGCCACCACGGTCACGTTGAAGGCGGCGTTGACGAACTCGGGCATGCAGCGCTGCGGCCGCCCGCCCTCGTCCGTGCACTCGTCCATGGCTGCCCGGGCGCAGCCGGCCGCAGCGGCCGCCAGCACAACCAACACCGGCCAGACGCGGCCCCGCGGCCGCAGCGCCGCCGCGGCCCGGTCGCTGCCCCTCATCCCGCCGCCCCCGCGCTGGGCCACGGCAAAGGCCAGGGCGTGGGTGCGTTCCTCTCGCCCGGCGGCGTCCCTCGGAGGCCGCTCCGCGCGGGTTCAGCCGCGGGGCCCAGTGACCAGGCTCTCCGGACGCGCGGTGGCGGCGGCTGTGCCACCGGAGAAACGGGCGGGTGGGCGCCCCGGGCGAGAACCCCGCGGCTGGCTGAGCGCTGCTCCGCGCGCACCTCTCTCCCACCCGGGACACAGCCCGCAACTCGCCGCCGACCCCCGACTTCCGAGCGCGTACCCGCGCGGGCGCGCGCGCCCCCGGGGAGGAAGGAGCTGGGGGGTGGGGTCAGCACGGTCGGGTGGGGTCTGGCCGAGAAGGAAGCCCAACCCCGGCGTCCTCTCAGCCGCTCCCCGGCCCTCCGCGCGCGCCGTGGACTGCGCGTCCACCCCAGAGACTCGCGGCGGCACCTCACGCTCGAGCCCGCGGCGCGCGGTCGGCGGGGGCGGGGCCTGGAGGGGCGCGAGGGGTGGGCGGGGTCGGGAGAGGGGGCGGGGCGACGGGGAAGGCGGGGCGGCGGGGCGGTGCATGCCGGGAGGGCCGCGGAGCCCCGGGAGAGCCGGCTCCCAGCCGGGAAATGGACCGCAGGGTCCCCTGGCGCCGAGTCCCCAGGAAGACTCGGGGTTGGGGGCGGGGGCAACGGGGGGGTCTTATAGGGGCGACGCCGGAGGGGCGGGGACGCTCGGAGTTGGCCCTTGGGCCCCGCGCGGTCTGGGCCGCGGTAGCTCGTGTCCCAGCCACGCCAGGTGTCCGTCCTGGTGTCCAGCGGGCCGCGCCCCGGGGCGGGGACCTTAGGCACCCGACATTGCGGAGGGAGGTGGGGTGTCCGCTCTCCCCCCCAGCCCCCTCGCCGCGGGGCCACCCCGGGAATGGCCCGTGCTGCTCGCGGCCGGCCCCAGGGCTTTCCGAGCAGAGTTCCCGGGGTGTCAGGGGGCTGACACGGTCCCCGGAGATTAAAGAGCCGGATCGCAGCATCAGAATGAGTTTTCTGAAGTGATTTCCTGTCTCAAAAATTAAAGCGTAACCCGTGGTTTTTAACAGGGGCGAGGAAGGAAGTGAGAAGGCTGGGAATGGAATGGCATTTTTTCCCCCTGGGTATGCAGCAGACCCACTGCGAAATTCTTCCACTGTGTTGTTTATGTTCCCCAGCTTGCCTTTAAAAGACTCGAAAGGATCTGGGATTGGACATCCTCCTTTTCAGGCCTGCTGAGTCACGGAATATTCTCCTTGCCAGAATGACTCAGTTCACAGAACCTCAGCCAGAAGATCATGAGGTTTAGCCCGAGATCAGAACCTGGGCACCTACTCGGTGCTGATACGACGCACACAGGAGCAGAGGGAGGGCGCGGTAAACATGGATGGATCCCTTTGGTGTGCGGGAGCAAAGTGGGTGCTCCTCAGACAGCTTTTTTTTTTTTTACTTTACAAGATCTTAACAGTAATAAATGCACTGGGGCGAGGACAGGAGCGGAGAATATCTAGTTTTGTACCCAAAAGTCCCGTTAAGAGAGAGATGGTGGGGATACGAAATGATGATATGTGTCCGTTAGGTTACTCTGGTAGGGATCAGCGTTAACTCTAGGAGGACCTTAATAGTGATGGTTTTGGGGAGGGGAGTGGGTTAGGGGACTTGTCAGAATGGTGAGCTTGCTTCGAAGATATATGGATCACTTATACTGTTAATTTATTTGATGAGGTGGGTGGAGTTTAGGCATGACTCAGAAGCCTGTAACTCCTCATCCCTTAGCATCTGCTCTTTGGTTGAAGAAGGTTGTGGAACTGTGGGTAACAATGTTTTTTCATCCTTTCATGTTTGAGTCAGAAGCAAAATATATTCATTTATACCTAGAAGGGGTGATATTCTCTCTCAGTCCTTGATCTTGAGAACAAACAAGGACATAAAAGACAAAGATAAGCATGTCAGTTTGTAAATAAAGCTACAGATAATTTTAATAACTATATTTAATACATATATTAATACATTTGCCCTATAAATTTTAAGTATTTTATTAGACATTGGCAAACCAAACAGTGGACCTCCTTTTGTTTACTGCCAAGTCAAAATAGTTGAAGAAATGGAGAACCCAAAATCAACATAAATGTTTTCTTGTCACTGCTTCCTTTGGGGTTCTAATGTCCAATGGTAACTAAAGCTATTACTTATGCTTATCTACCCCACAGTTTCATTACCAGAACCTCATCTGGTATTTGTAAAGCACATTAAGAGACTTTGAATTGATTTCTGAATTCTGTTGCTCATCATGAGAGTGTGACAAGAATGTATCTGTTTTGAAGAGAGATAAAAATGTAACCAGCCAGTGTGCTTAATGATTTAAAAAAAAAATTTTTTTGCTCCATTGTTTGATTCCTGATTCAAACAAACCAATGATTAAAAGAAAAAAAATTTAAGACAATTTGAGAAATTTAAATGCTGATTAGATCGTTGATGATAACAAATCAAGTATTTTAAGTACCTGGAGATGCCACTGCTGACTAAATAAACTTGGTATTTTTTTTTAAGTGAGAATGTTTGAGATTTTCTTTTACTTCATGCTGGCCTGTTTTTTCAAAGAATTTCTGAGTCCTTAATTCATGTTCTTAGCTGCTTGGAAACGTCATTATCTCTGGTAAACAATTTGGTGTTTAGAAGAAAAATGTGACAATGTGGGGGAAATGGTTTCAGATCCCTCCAGAGATGATCGCCAGTGCCTCTATACTGTGAGAATGGTAGGATGAGGGAAGGTAGTCGTTTATTATACAGAGGAAAGAGCTCCAAAAAAAATTTTTTTTAATTCCACTTCCATCTTCAGAGAACAGAGATTTCCCTCATCAGGATCTGTGTAATTAGTTTCAAGGAAGGATGCTGATTCCCCTGACTCGGGTCACTGCAGATGCCTGAGCATACCCACCCCTAGCAAGGTGAAGAGAGTGATGTGAAAACCTTGGAGTTTAGGAAAAGCAGTTCTCCAAGCAAAGAGGTTGCTGTTGCCAGAAGAGGGCAGGTTACAAGGCAGAAAAAAAACCCAGATGCCCATTACATCAAGACTGAAACTATGTGATATATATAATGAGAAAAATAATTTTAAAAGTTTGTATTGACCTTTGCAGATTGCAACCTGGCCCTTTTTTTATCCTTTATAATTACCAGTGTGTTTATTTTTCCATCTCTTAGTCTTTCTGATTTCATTTCCCTATATTCTTTTCAAGTCTAGACATTACTCTATCTTTTTCAAAAATATTTTATTTATTTATTTGGCACCGAGTCTTAGTTGAGGCATGTGGGTATCTCGTTTCCTGTACTCTTGCTTAATAACTCAGTCATGTCCAACTCTTTGCAACCCCATGGACTGTAGCCCTCCAGGCTCCTCTGTCCATGGGATTTTCCAGGCAAGAATACTGGAGTGGGTTGCCATTTCCTCCTCCAGGGGATCTTCCTGACATGGGATGGAACCTCGGTCTCCTGTGTCTCCTGCATTGGCAAGCAGATTCTTTACTGCTGAGCCACCTGGGAAACGGGGTCAAACCCAGGCCCCCTGCATTGGGAGTGTGGAGTATTTGCCCCTGGACCACCAGGGAAGTCCCAAGCTTTATCTTTTATATTTAGAATGCAACTTAAAGATAACAGTTACAACTAATAATACAATGGTGTTAGTCTATATTTACATTCTGTTTTATATTTTTCAAAATGTAATAATTCTGAAGCAAGGAATAGTAATTGTCTAGGGCCGAGGATAGGGGAGCCTGGCCGGCTACGGTCCATAGGGTCCCAAAGAGTCAGACATGACTGAAGTGACTTACTTAGCACATAGCATACATAGGATTGAGGAAACTAAGGATCCAAGAGAATAGAGAGCCTGCACTTTCTGGATGACTGCCCAATGCGATTTTCTTTTCTGTTGTTTAAAGATCGTGGATGAGAAAAGGGTAAAGGAAAGCTTTCTCAAACTTCCAAGGTTTTGAGGTTATCAAATGGGGATTTCTAATCAGGTGAGAATTAATATGATACATTGGAAAAGACCCTGATGATGGGAAAGATTGAAGGCAAAAGGAGAAAGGGATGACAGCGGATGAGATGGTTGGATGGCATTACCAACTTAATTGACATGAATTTCAGCAAATTTTGGAAGATAATGAAGGACAGGGAAGCCTGGAATGCTGCAGTCCATGGGGTCATGAAGAGTTGGACACAACTCAGCGACTGAACAACAACAGCAGCAGAAGAGAATTACAATATTCCTCTTCAAAGTTACACTAACTACTACATGTGATTCTTGGTGTTAGGCCTATAGATCCTTTCTTGGTCCTTGGTACAAGTCCAAGCGTAACTAGATAAGATATTGTGGCCAGGCTCAAGTGAAGACAAGATTCCTCTTCTATGAGGTAAAGCTCGTTCTTCTCATCCAACTCTACAAACCCAGTTTAAGCCATCTTTACATTGTGATACTAGTTTTAAAAGGGAGAGGGCAAAAAATGAACACATATCATAACCCACAAGATTTAAACTAGAATTTTCTTAATATGAAGACAACTTTTGAAAGAAATGTTTCCAAAAGTTAGGAGCAAAGTTGAACCCCTCCCCTACCCAAAATCTTTCCCATCAAAGGAACAGAAAATTTCATATCTCAAAAATTTTTTTATTCTGCCAACCAGATATTGACTGCATCCTACTGTAGAGAATAGAGAGATAAATAAGCTTTTCTTGGGCCTTCCCTAGTGGTCCAGTGGTCAGGACTTCACCTTCCGATGCAGGAGGTGCCAGTTTGATCCCTGGTTGGGGAACTGAGATTCCACATGCCTCAGGGCCAAAAAAACAAAACATAAAGGAATATTGTAACAAATTTAATAAAGACTTTTTAAAAATAAGCTTTTATATACAGATGAAATGGTTTTACTGTGAGAACTCAGAATGTCTACTAAGTTGTTGACCCTTGGTGATTAAATACTGTCAGAAAGGGTA